CAACCTTCCCTGCAGGAAAGCAAGCTGGGAGAAGGGGGCTGCAGGGTTTTCCAAGCCCTGCTACTGGTCCCGGTGGCAGGGGAGACCTGGTCCCGGCCCTGGGGCTGCTCAGCCCCCTTGGCATCTCAAAGCTTTCCTAAAATCCCAGGTGCTAGTACCCTGTGGTCTCCACAGGTCCCATCCATCACAGCCAGCGGGAGATGGGTCTGCTCCTGCCCTGTGGCTCGTGCTCTCGGTGCCTTGGTTTCCCAATCTCGGGGGGGCTGCATTCCTGAGCTGGGAGATATTTGGGGATGCTGAACCCAAACACAGCCACTCCAGGACAGAGCAAAAGTCACTCAGCCAAGGGATAAGAGCGAAAACCTGCAATGACAGCTCCCTGCTACCTTCTCCCAAGCTTCGGCAGTCTGGGGCTCTGGGGCATCCCAAGCCAGCGGTGATCCCGGCTTTAACAGCCTTTTCTCTCCAGTTTAAGGGCTGTTGCCTTGCGTTGGCTTCAACCCCACTGCCAGGTGGCCTCCCCAGGGTGGAAGGCAGAGAAATGGGAAAAGGATGCGGTGGGGGCTGTTGGGCTGTGCTTTTCCACCGGAACGTCTTGTTCCTCGCCACGCCGCCTCTTTGATTGGGAGTCACTGAAAGGTCCTTCCAAGCGCTGTCGGAAAAGCATCTGGAAGGGCCGGGAGGCAGCGGCAGCTGGGGGGGCTCCAGGATGTTGAAGCAAACCAGGAAAGGTGCCTTTGCAGGGAGCACTGGGAGAGGGGTCTGGGTGAGGGTCTGGGATAGCTTTGGATGTCAGGCTGGGATCGGATCTACAAGGTTCTGCAGTGCCTGCCGTCGGATGGAGGCATCCCTGCCTGTGCCCCACAGGTTTGGGGGCTCCGCTTATGGAGGGAGAAGGTCCTTCCACCCCATGGGATGTCTGTCCCCTTGCAGGTCTTCAGAGACAACATCTCCCCCACCACCAGCACAGCGCCAGGTCCCCTGGCTCTGGCTCCCAGCCTCTTGGACCGCTTCCCCCGGGATGCAGTGCCCAG